ATCAGAATATCGACATAGGTCTTTATTTTCACAAACTTTATTTTGAAGTGATATATTGCAGTTATGTTGTAAATATAGGCAGAAATTTGCAAAAAAAATAAAATAAAATGAATAAATAAATAGAAAAGGAAAAAAAGAGATTATATTAGTGTCCAGGGGTTTAATATTTTCTGTAACTTTCCTGCCAAATATAATTATTCTAGGCTTTCCGGTATTTTGGAAGAAGTTGTTCAAAGGTTTTAACGCATTTGACCTCTGTGACCATGAATATGGGTCAAGGTCATTTCATTTTGCAAATTTTGTTGGGCTTCATCAAAGGAACCTTCTAGCCAAATATGATAACTCTACGCCTTTCGGTATTGTTTAAATGAAAAGCTGACGGACACCAGACGGACAACGCGCTATGGCATAAGCTCACTTGGCCCTTTGGGCCAGGTGAGCTAATAATGTTTTCTCCCTCATTTGTCTTCAGTAAAAATTTCGTACAACCCATTGTTCTTTTCAATCCATATTACAATAAGTTACTATAACATATTGCCTTAGTATATATACAGCAAATACATATGCATGGTAAATGAAGGAAATAAAAAGATATCAATTAATTTTGAACTGAAAGGGAAACCAAGAAATGTTTGTTATTGATCATCTTTTATTTGTACATTTCTAGGAATGTCAGACAAAGGATTGCAGGCCATTGAAGCAATGGATTCATGATGTTGTGAACCACTTTTGGCATGTCTGTCAAAATGCCAATGCATATTCGGAGTTCATGGTTAGTATTGTGCTTGTCTATAACAACATAATATTATGCACAAGATAAGAATTCAAGAAATCATATATTGCTTAAAATTTTATATTCTAATAATGTAACTTTCAACAAGTACTTTTCTTACTTCAGGGAATGTGGGCAGGTGTCTTACACCATGTTGTTGGTGAGCATTTGTGGGGTGTTCCATACACTGATGATGGAGTTGCTGAATGTTCACACGGCCCCTTGTCTGATGTTGAGGCTGAGGGAAAGTCTCTGGAAAAGGGCAGTACAGCTCACAACACACTGAGGAAGGTTGTGCTATACAAGCCATTCCTCAACAAAATACATTACTGTCTGAACTTTTGGTAAGGAAACCAAGAGCAGGCAACCAGATTTGTGAATTTATATTGTTTTATGAATCCAGTGTGAATTTTCAAGGAAAAAATTCTGTGAGATGAGAAAGAGCAATACAGCATTACTGTATGTGAGTTAGATATACCTGGTAATAGTGCATTTCTCAGAGAAGGAAAAAACACAAAGTTGAAATTTACCATCCCAGTATTTGGTATTGAAAAGGACTGTGATGTTTACATTCATATTCATCTTCTAACAGAAGCTAATACTACATAATATATGTCTTACAGAAGTACAGCAGAACTGGAAAACTGTCACCAGCTCTTCCTGATGTATGCAGCGAAAAGGTTTCCTAACACTCCACCTGTCTACAAGGCTAGAAACATCTTACACTCCACCTGTCTACAAGGCTAGCAACATCTTACACTCCACCTGTCTACAAGGCGAGCAACATCTTACACTCCACCTGTCTACAAGGCTAGAAACATCTTACACTCCACCTGTCTACAAGGCTAGCAACATCTTACACTCCACCTGTCTACAAGGCTAGCAACATCTTACACTCCACCTGTCTACAAGGCTAGCAACATCTTGGCAGCCATAGATTATAATGCCCACATCAGCAGAGAAACAAAAAAAATTGCAGATGACTCAGTAAGATAAGAATTGTGATATTGCCAGTTCTGGCAGTTCCTGTTACATGTATATACTTATATAGACACAATATTGTGAAGATTTTACCTGCATCTCAAATTTGATACTTTGTTAACTTGTTGCCATGAAACTCAATGTTTTAAGGCTTATATTCAAATTATTAACAGATACCACAGAACTTACAACAAAAAAAGTGGCAGGTGGTCGGCTGTGCCGTACAAAGTGGAAAAGAAATACAGCTATATCAATGACCTGATTTCAGCTATTGTTGGAAAGAGGCTACTTGATCGAGAAGGCATGCATAAAAGCAGGTTTTTATCAGCCTCTGATCCCAGACACATATCCAGTGTTTTAGCTCCGCTGCCTCCACCACCTACTGCCAAATTAGTGAAAGAAAAAGTCACAAAATGAAGTGATTTTTGTGTGTGAAATAGAGAGTGTCACGAGTACGGTGCCACAGGTGTTTTAATTGTCACATGTATTTCATGTTTCAAGTTTTATGTGTAAAACCTATCATTTGTAGTCTCAGGGACAGTATGTGTTTATACAAAAGTATAGAGTATGTCGTTAGTAGGGTTTATGGTGTCACAAATTTGGTGTATGTGTCAATTATGGCATGTGTCACAAGTTTGGAGAGTGTCTATTGTGAGGTGTATGTGTGTGAAAATTACAAATTCATGTATCTAGTTATTGTCATCTGTATTCTATCTTAAAATAGATTTCTATGCAGATGCTCTTGAAATATCTATGCCAACAATTAATAAAACTATTTCAAAGAAGTGTTATTATGAAATTTCCTTCTTTTTGATGTATGTTTTACAATTGTAACATTTGCTTGGCTCCATGATGTAGCCATTCAGCCAGCTAACAAAATGAGGGTATGAAATAAAGTTGTTTACAGTACATCTAGGTGCTAACAATAAAAATATGACACAAGTTTTGTGTCTTTACTTGTTTATTTGGCATGTACCGAAATGTTTCTGTAATCATCAAATCATCTAAATCAACGTTTTTTGTTCCAATGCAATTCCCATGCATTATAATCACCTACCCTGATCCACACACAAATATTTTTTGGAGTATTTTAAACTCATTTTCATCATAACAAATTCATGAGTGATAATACTCTAAAAATCATCATGATCACTTATCTATAGTGACAATAATTTAAAAAAGCATCATCGTCCAAACATATCTCAACAACATCATTACATGCATATTTATCATCAAACACAGTCAACCAATCCTGGATGCCTTGAAGCCAGTATATTGTCCAAAGTCATCAGGAAATCTGTCTTTAATTTTCCAAACTGCACAGCTTGGGATTACCCGTCTGTCACCAGCACCAAGGTGGCCAACTTGCCCTAGTATGTATTGTCTATAGGCAGCATGCCTGTTGGCTTTTTTCCAGTCGTCTCCATCTGGCAAAGCAAACATATATTGCCTGTAAAGGCGTGCTAGAGCCAAAACCGCTTCATCCAGAATCAGGACTTCAAAATCCTACAGGGAAAAAAAACGTGAAAATGCTTATAAATTTCAAAATTTTGCATAGTAAAAATTTGTACATTTCCTTAATTAAGGTGCAATAAATGAACAAAAATTAAAAATTAAAAAAAAAAAAAAATCTTGCATATACCACCTGAAACATATACATTTTTTATTATATATTTCTAGTAAAATATTTCTGATTAAGTGAAGTGATATTTGGACAATCTTACCGGAAGCAATGTCACACAGTTTTGCAGGATTTTCTCTGTAACAGCTTCTCTGGCTGTGTAGGCATTTCTCTACAATTGCCACATGAACACCAGTCTGGACTCTTCACATTTGGTCTGGGGTGATAACCTTCACCATTTCCATCATGGTCTTTTATCACATTGAAAATCAAAGAGTGGAACTGTTGGGCTGTTTGATGCAAGAGAGACTTTGTCTCTTCATAGGACATTCCATCAATCTTTGTCTGGAAACGATAGACAAATGCTTATAGAAATCAAACTTCCGTATGGTTCATGGTTCAACTAACAAATACATACTCGTTGTATTGTAATAGGAATAATATTACATATTAGTCAACATTTAAATAAAACATTTACAAAAAACTGATTGGTGTCACCATGGAGCGTACGAGTTCAGTCCGATTTCAGGGGAGGTAGCTCGAGTACAGTGCACAATAATGTTGATATGGGATTATCACAATTCAATTACATCATGAATCAATTCTTTAATTCATTATTTCCTTTGCAAAACGACGGAGTGGCCATATATTAAATGTTGAAAATGTACTAGACCTCGCGTCATAAAAAGACGTTCACCTGATTAACCATGACGGACGTCAGAACACTACACTCTTTCTTGGTACGTTATTCAAAATCACTCTGGTTTCGTATTCAACATTGGATCTTTGATCTTTTCAAAAGGACCCGAACTCATCTTCAACGTTAAAAATTTACCTCGGGATAAAACAGTTGTCATTTTTGTTGAAATTGGATCCCAGAATATAATTACAATTCTTGGCGAAGATTTATTATTCAATTTGTATAATGATATGACGGGGTGACACTGAGTTGGGCCTTATGTATTAGAGGTGACTAATTAAGCAAGAAACTAGATGAAATCATGGTATTATTTGGAAATGTAGCATGTTGTTTTTTTACGTTCTTTTTGTCAACTTTTCTAAACCGGAAAGCATTCAATCAGACAGTCACTATATGGTATGGAAAACATTTCAAGCCAACGGTGGTTCGCGCGAAACAAACGCACCAACTTTCAGTCGATCGTTCCGAATGAATTTGAGAGTTTCCGAAGTAATGTACATGTACGGGAGTAGAAGAATTGACAGGTTGTTTTTGGTAAGTCTGTCATGTTTAGCCTCATTTGAGGAATCGTATCATAAGGATATGATACTATTTATGACATCTTCCTGACTTTATACCGATAGGCCAGATATTTGAATATGATACGACAACAATACGACTACAGTTGACACCAAGTACGATGGTAACAAGATGCAGACGACTCCTGAACGGTAAACTTTGCTGGCAAGTAAAAACGAGTGCTACCCTTTTGAACGGCCCATTCGGTACATGTACATTGTAGGCATATAGGCTTCATATAACGTTATTCCGAAGAAAAATAAATGCGTTCAACAAAATCTAACCCATTTTGCTTTCTGTTTTTCAGAAACTGGGACACACGTTCGCCAACTCACGAAACAAAGATCTAGAGGAGCTTAAGATTTGATATGGCGACACTACAACCAAAATACAGTAATATTAGATAATGATATATAACATTGATACCGTGTAAAAGAAAATTAGACTTCACAAGTTGATAAATCATTGGCTCTAAATATGTTAAAAAAATTCGTTAAAATCAGTGAATTTTGACAGAATTGAAACTCTTCTTTAATTAAAAACAAACATTACTAATATTTGATTCAGTATAATGAAATAAAAAAAAATTGAAAACGATAAACATAATCAAACAGTGCATGCATTTACCGTTTTGAAATTTCGTCATTTGGTTTTCAGATTTTGGACTTCTACAGACACCAATGTCAAATCCCTCTGGATATGAATCAGAAACAAGTACTGAGATTTTTCATAGAAACCCAAGACAAAATGTGAAGGGTGCAAGATGTGAATCAAGTAGATACACTACCGCATCTGGATTTACATCTAGGTACTCTAACATGATTCCCCCCCACCCACCCAATCACATGTGCATATATAGTGTAAAATGTAGGAGTATGTATTTTTGGATAAACTTGACTTGAAATTTGTCAGATATCTCCTGTCAGATAGTCCTCAGATAATAAGGTGCATAGCAGCTACAGTCCCAGAAGGCCCCTTGTTTATTCTTTCCATTACATTTGTCAGCTGTTCTTTCAGCATGCGATGAATGAGTAGTCAGTCCAGACTTATGATTTAAAGGGATATTCCAAACAAAATAGGATTTCATAGGATAGTTTTGAAGAAAATTGCACAAATCATCTACTTGTGTTCTTATGGAAATTGTTCACCTCAATTTACCACATAAACAAAGATATGGTATTGCAGAAATTCTTTATAGATCTAGCTAGATTGATTTACAAACGTTTGCTCAACCTTGATTGTGTCATAACAGGTTTGAATTGTTACAAACCCACCGAATGAAATATTTTTGTAAATTATGAAATCAACAGAAAATAAGCCTAATGAAGTAATAAAATTGTAATTTCACAGAAATACCTATGCGCATTTACCTACTACTCTGTATAAAATCAATGATTCAGTAAACTTTCAGTTCCACATTTCCTGAGGTGCTCTAATTAGACAGTTTGGCTGGGAGTATTCCCACCAATTTTGCCTGTTCAAACTGACCGTAGAAGAGATATTTTGATGCTAACAATAGTTTTAAAAGTCATTAGAATGAGTTTATTTTAGGTACAGAACAGTTAGAAATGTTTCAACTTGGATGTAATATCCCTTTAAGGAATTTAAACTATATATATATGTAATTGTTATGTTTTTACCACAGTACAAGTGTTTCTGGAGTGAAAAAGAGAGGCAAAGGTTTAGGATATACAACTCCTGGATCAACCAGTGCTCCGAGGACTCCAGGTTCACGCCGAACACCAGCCAGCCTCAACTATAGCACAACTACTCCTAGAGATTCTGCATCTTCCGTGATTGTTGGTATATGACTTATGTAATGAAAATGTGACACATATTTCATGGATAAAGATTCTTGTAGCTCTGCCATATGTATCTATAAAGATCCCTAATTTGGAGAGGCAAAGATTTCTCATAATCCAAGAGACCTACATTATTATATATTAACACTACTGTGCACTGCTAAGTGAAAGAACTGGGAAAATAGTCGAGTGTCCCGGCCAGGAATCGAACCCGGGTCTACCAACTGAGCCAAAGAAGCATGCTCCATCATCTGAGTGACAGAGAACATAGTTAATATTACATACAAGCCACACCAACTTGCCCCTATTACATTTATAATGATAGTTGTACATTTCATTTATCATGGTTAATGCTGTACTTTTGTTTACTGTTGGGCATTACATTGCCTAGAAAATTAAGACAGAGTATTACATTGCCTAGAAAATAAAGACAGAGTGATAATCCCATTGTCAAACTTTTCTTTTTCACTATTTCACAAATTATCATTCTGAGATCATTAATAATAGGTTATCCATTTATCTAACACTGCCACTAACTTCACTTTAAAACATATGTCTAAATGCATGTAATTGGTAAAATGTTTATTTATAGCAATTGTGGAAGGCAGAGGATTAGCCAAAGGAGAGATAGGATTGGCTAGCCTGGATCTTAAATGCCCGTTTTTAACTCTTTCTCAATTCTCAGACACCCAAACCTATGTTAAAACTGTTACCAAGCTTCAAATCCTTCAACCAATTGAGGTAAAATTTTGATATGTCTCAATTTCTGTATTCATATTATGAACCAGTGATTAATTTACCTGCATTATATGTTCAGGACAAATGACACATACTTTTCTAAATTGCTTCATTTGGTCCATGAAAATAAGGAATTTGATATCCTCTATATAGAGAATTATGTCTGGATATTTGCTTGCTTGGTGGAAAATGTCCTGACATCTTGAAATGTAGATAAATCACAGATGAACATGTCTGTATGAGGACAGGAAAGACTCACACTTCAAATAAGCTTGTACATGATTCCCTTTGTGAGATATGACAGCACATACCATGCTGAACCTGGTTACTATTCCTGTAGAATCTTCTGACTGGCTTCAGCTCCTGCAGTACTTGGCATTTGTAGATTTTCTTCCTCGCATGACGTGTGTGTCTGTATTAGAATGAAATATATATCTAACTTTCCTGACACATTTTAAAAACTTTGCTATCACTGGTTTGATTTCTTGACAACATACTGTTGATGATTTACTAATGTAATACTGTCATGCCTTGAACTCTGTAAGTAACTTTGAGAGTTCCTTTATATGTATGTTTTTAATTTATATACTTTTTCAATTTTGTTAGTGTAGATAAGCTATATTTTTCTTTGAGGATCCAATAGATGTTCTAGCTGACAATGTGTCCTCTTTCCATTCTTGATTCATCTAATCCATAAAGTGATTATAGAGTTTTTGTACATATTACACTTTTTCCAGTAGATAAGTCAATAAGCTTGTATCATTTCTCATATCTTGATAAAAAAATTTTACATTATATTCCCAGATTATAGTACCTAATACAGCTTGTGAAAATGGAACTATGACAAAGCTGTTAAAATTGCTCAATGACCAATTCCAAAACACAAGCATATCAACAGTCCAAAGGAAATACTTCAATGAAACAAGAGGTAAGCCCTATCAGAAAATAAATTCCATACCTTACTTTATAATGTTCCTTGATCACACCTCCTCCTTGTATTTGCAACTTAAAAACATGCAATGTGGATCAAGTATTCAGAGATTATATAAACATATTTTTAAACTATTTCCATTCACTTGGATGTCTTTTGTCTTGGAGTGAAAGGTCAGTGTATCCTTTGTGTGAAAAAGTGATTTTTTTTTTTTTTTATATATATATATATATATCGGGGCAATATATTTGGAATTGTGTAAGATATACTGATGTAAGTCGATAGGATCCATTATCATTGATGTACAATGTAGTGCACTGATATTAGGTGCCTGTGACCTTCATTTCAAGGTCATTGGTGAGATACATTTATAATAAAGGTGCATAATTTTCGTTATTTGTTTTCAAATTTGAAGCTAAATATTTCACACATGATAAGGTATATGTTTTGTTACAACATTATGAAGCAAATTTGATCAAAATCAATTGGCAGATCATTATCCTAATAGTTAAGGTCACTTTGTTTAAGGTCAAGGTCAAATTTTAGTTTTGATATCATGAAGCAAAATTGATTAAAATGAAATGAGTATGCATCATTCAAGGTCAGATATTAAATTCACTATCTGTGAAGTTCTGAGATATTAAATAATTTGATATGATCTGATGAATAGAAAATACTAGGAAAAATTACATGAGGAACAACAAAAAGCTCTTGGAAAAAAGAGGCGAGAATTATGATCTCATAAAAAAATTTTTTTGTTCATGTACAGAAATGAATACTGTCTTTCGACAAGGATACATTTCAAACAATGTTTTTGCTTGGTATATGTTGCTATTTATTCTTTCGTATATTTATCCCATATCACATATGTTGATGTACAGTATGATTTTTTATCTTATGCATATGCTTCATGTCCAATTTTTATCCAAATTTTTTAAATGTTTTAAAAACAAGCGGAATAACAACATGCTCAAAAACGAACTATTATATATTCATGAATTAATAGGTGAACTAAAACAAGGTTGCAGTCCGTGTCAAACCAAGTACAGTGAACATATACTTCACAGACATTTCATTCTTGGTGATTTGTAGGATTGCAGTATGTGAAGCAATTATGTGTGCCAGAGTTCAATACAGTGGAGATGGAAGTTAGAGTGAAGTAAGCATTAAAAGCATTGCAGGATATTTTCTTAGGTTTAGTGTATAAGATCAATTCTCCTTCATACACTTTCCTCTTTTTATATGCCTCTTCAAGAAGCTTTTTCCAAGATTTTGAGCAAATGCATCAAAGCTCCCTTGTGCCGTTATCTTATGTTCATCTGAAGGATATTTGACCTTTTCTAAAGTATTTGAAAATAAATGATAAGAGATATTTTGCTGAGGCATAGATAAAAAGCAAGTCTAGAGAATTAAAAAAAAAATTAAAGAAAAGAATTTTTTTGGTAGATAATAGATTGTTCTATTGATTCATTATTGTGCTATCTTTACTTAAAGATAAAGACAGATTAAATTAGATTAAGATAATGATTAAATAAACGATGTATTTATAGATCAACTCATCATGAAAATCTGTAAGTTTGTTGTGGATGTTGTAGGTACTACGTTCTGGCAGCAGTGGCATCTCTCATGAAATACGTAGAATTTATACAGAATATCATGTACGCTCCTGGTTCATTGAAGATCGTCTTTCAGGGAAGTGAAAACACAACAATGATTGGTATGGAAAAAAGCAAAATATTACAGAAGCTTGCTTTATATGTGAAATAAACAGTTACCACATTTTTAATTCTACTGATACTGTTTATATGTTTTTTTTTTTTGTTTTTTAATATTGCACCTTTGATATTCATGACAAATAACTGGTGTCAGGCAGTCTAGTTTTGTTGCTATGAACTTGTGTTGATTGTAAATCTTAGCTATCATCTTGTGTTGAAGATGCATCTACAGCAAAGAATTTAGAACTGCTTCAGAATCTGAGAGACCCTACCAGTGACATCACACTATACGGTATACTGAACTACACTAAAACTCCTGGAGGAGCAAGGCTACTTAGAGCAAATATCCTACAACCTCCCTCAGGTAGCTTATCACAATTACAGCATTCCTAACTCCGACCTCATGCTTAAAGACCTTAGAAGTCAGCTTTACTTTAGCTTGTCTACATTTTCAATCTTAAAACAGTGGAATATAAGTTAGTAGTTTCTATGATATTGTATATACCAGTTACAGTACATAATATAATATTTATAATATAATACATATTAGTCATTTGTCCAAGGCAAAGATCATTTTCTTGAAATTTCAAATTTATATTTTCTTAACATGGAGTTAAGTCAGAATGTTTGATTGATCTTCAAGTACAGTGCTAGCCTCATAGCATATGCATTTTGAGAAGTTTTTTGTATGTCAGCTGAAGCACATTGACAAAGTTCTTTGCTAAAATAAAATACCTAGCAATAATGTAGCTAATTTGATGAGCTTAAAGAAATGTACTAAATTGAATACCAGATGTAAGACACTCAAAAAGCATGCTCTGATCCTGACTTGAACAGTGAGACAATCTATGATTATGAATGTATTATATATTATAACCATGAAATGAATGAAGACTTGGATAGTAATTTTGAAAGTTTGTTTCCAATGTGATTAAATTAGTAAATTAATATATTGCTTACAGTCATAAGGTATGTGTCATTGATGGTGATGGAATCAGAAGTTAGAGATCATTGTTACAGATCTAGAGACCATAACAATGAGACAGGATGCCATTGGAGAGTTAACAGAGAAGGAGGAGGTTTTTTACAATCTACAGACAGTGATTAGTCAGTTCCCAGATGTTGATCACCTCCTCTCTCTGCTGCTACAGATTCCTAAGCAGGAGACAATTAAGGTAGCAGAGAACAAGATCGCAAACATTATCTACCTGAAGCATACACTGGAACTCTTAGAACCACTGAAAGCAGCCCTCAAAGACTGTGAGAATCCTCTGCTGAAAGCCTACTGTAAGGTTGGTTTATTTTTTTTCTCAGCAACATAGATTATACTACAGTCGAAACTTGTTATCTTGAAATTCAAGGGACTGTGGAAAATATTTTGACTCATCTGAAGGTGACTGTGTAGTCATCGAAATGTCACACTCTAAGCCTCTACTGGTTGTGTTATAAGGACTTATATTCTATTGACATTACCAACCCAAAGAAAATGTTTGAAAAAAAGGGAACTTTTCATCTGTTAGTGTCTGGCAGCAATAGACATGTCACTGTCAATTTAGTTCTTTAGAATAATTTTTGGCCCAGCTAACAGACAGAAGATTCTTAGCATGTTCTCATTTGAAATTTTTGTTCCAAAGTCTTTTTATATGTTAAATGGCAACATGTACTAAAACAAAAATTGGTATTATAGATTCAATTGGCAATTATTATTATCATCATCATATTCTTAACGGCCCATCAACACATAATAAGTCATTAGGGCCAGCAACCGGTGAATGACAGAGCAATCTAAAAGGAAACAACACCAAATGAACTAAAAGGTGAAAGACAAATGTTAAAAATCTCATAAAAAGATCAAAATGGTAAATTATGACCAACACCTTTTAGATAACCTAGGATTTTATTAATCTGAACTGTTTCAGAAAGGGTCTTTATACTTGAAACATTATAATAAACTTTTCTCGTGTAGACAGAAGGTCAATGCAGTCCAGTAAAACAATTAGCAATTAGAACATGCGCATTTGAAATCTATGACTCAGAGTCCTTATGAACCGTACATGTGTTTGTGTTGTACTGAAATTGTAGTCGCTGGAGGATCCTCGGTTTGATATCATCATCACTAAGATATCCAGTGTTATCCATGAGGACACACGCTTTCAAAAGGGAACTCTTCATATGAGAACTCAGAAGTGCTTTGCTGTCAAGGTAAAGGTCACATCTCAGAAAGGTCAATGTGTATATATTTTTTCATTTTTTTTTTCGTTCAATCATATGTTCAGAATCTGGAGATTGACACGAGTTACTGTAGTTACTAGTTTTCAACAAATATTTGTTTTGTTCATCAGAAACCTGATATCTCAGACTAAATATATGTAATGTAACCCTGGTAAAAATTAATGCTTGGCTATATAGATTTTGTCTTCAGACCAATCGGTTGGGCATATATATATACATATACATTGACATATGTTGTGGCATTAAAATCTCAAGAAGTCAATTTGTTTTATTTATAAGAAAGTGTAGTATGACGCAATGTCTTAGATTCTATTGGTTATTAATGTGCCAACACTCTATGACAGACATTGTAAGCATAAGTGTATGTATACTCAGTATGAAAGAACCTCATCTAACACTATCATGATAATTAAGAACGGTTCCTAGTGTCATTCAACGGTACCAATACATCAGCCACTGTAATAGTCAGCAGTTATTCAGTAAAACATCACAACATTGTTTTACATATATTTTACACCTGGTAGAGAACAGCTCAAGAATTGGTTCCTTACTTGAAATCTGTAAAATTTGAACTTTCATTAATCATTTATATGAAAACATCATTTCTCATTTTTAAAGGTTTATATTATCAACTTGTATTGTTTCGCACTAATCATTCAAAGATACATTTTTCTCATACTTTAGATAATAAAAGTCTCTTCCCTTTCAGCCAAATATCAATGGTAAGTCTTATTACTCCAAATTTGAATGTCGTTAATTTCTGTTAATGTAGCAAAACTTTCTAAGCAAGGTCCTGATGAAGACCTTGCGATAAGGTCGAAACTAGTAGACAGTAAAGTTTCTACTTAATGATATAAGCTTGAGTATGTTGCGGTTTTTATTCTTTGATTATAATTAGTTTATTTGTCTATAACTGCCCTGCATACCTCAGGTATCCATACTCAACGCGAACTACCCATCCAAAATACCCTCCGAGATCCACCTGACGTTGGCTCCTCCGCTATAGTTTCTTTTAAAACTTTCTAAGTGTAACAAAATATACTCTGAATATAAATTAATTAATATTAATTTTCAATATATATCACCACACTGAATTTCATATGGAATAATCAGTGGGTGACTTTTTGAAATGTGACTTACCTACAATGAAAAGAAGAAACTAATTTATATTGGTCTCTTCAACATCTCGTTAATTTTCTGCTTAAGAAGAATACTGAAGTTTATTTAGAAACCATTTATAATTGTTGATACACCCTAAATTATGCGAAGACAGACTTTGATATCATCACTTCCAAATGTTTTCGCAGTTTTGTTGAAATCGTGTTTTCATTTTGAAGGTTTGCTGGATGTGGCGAGAAGAATGTACACTGAAATTGTGGATGATATATCTGGTAGGTTTTCAATATTTTCTCAGTGTTTTACATGGAGCACTGGTGTAAGGTAAACGAAAGTTGATTATTTGGTTAACAGTATCGTCGTTATCAATCAATGTTTATTGCAGGAATGGTTATAAGAAACATGTTTACATCTTTCTCTTGGGTGTGAATTTAAAATTAATATAAAGAAACAGGCTAGATGATACCATCGGGTAACTTTGGCTTTCTGTCCTTTAGGCGAGACTGCAATTATCGCATTGCTGTTTATTTTTTCTATAAATTTTGATTTCATATTTTACACAATTCTGGATTTCTGAGAAGTCATACAAAAAATGATAATGTTAATGTAGGACTTCTGTTGTAATTCAATTTTCTTGTCCATGAATGAGGCATAGCAGTAATGTTCTAGAATATATATATACCAACGCATCAATACACAACGTAGATCTCACACGGGATGAGCAACTATGAAGATATCAAAGGTGAAAACATTTTGGATATAATTTCTTTCCTAAATATGGTCATGTATCAATTAAAGTCACAGAAGACTGCAGTTACATCACATTTTTTGTGTGCAGTCTGTAAACAATTTGTAGAGTTCATAAAGTCTGTCCCATTATAATGGCATTCACAAAGTAGGTGACAAACATGTCCTTCTTTAAAACTTTGTTGTTAATCAAATTTGTTTATACTGCAGTTTATGTATTCATCCCTAAATATATGCTTAGCTCACCTTGCTTTTTTTGTGTTATTACTTGTACTCTTAATGAAAAATCAAGCTCTGAACCTATCTTGATCAGAATTAGTGGTACAGTTGGGTGCCCAGTATGGTTTGCCATTGAAGACCAGCTATAATTCAGCAAGAGGGTTCTTCATCCAGACCTGCTCCTCAGGAAAGGATAGTGTAACAGCAGACAATTTACCTGGAGTTTTCATCAAGGTCACAAAAGTCAAAAGCACTCTGAGTTTTACGACCACAGACTTGGTGAGTCCAGTCCCTGTTTCATACTTATCAAATTATTTCATCAGTGATTTTAACCATTGATTAGTTTGGAATTGAATTAAGCATTGGTATTATCAAAGCTTAATATTTTCCTACTAGAATTCTTTTTATTATCATTAGATACTGGTATCTTACATGATCATCATCAGTTGTTCTGAATTTGATACTTCATCTGACACAACAATATTGTGGAGAAAACAAAATTGTAGCTTTATTTATGTGTTTATTATAGAATCAATAACACACAAATGGATGTGAATGTTTTGCATTTGAACAAACCATATACTGAACATGAAATGATAAGCAAAAATGAAAAAAAAAGAAACAATTTTGAATTTTTGCTTTTGTAGAATTTCACATATGTTACTAAGACATAACAGTATTTGCATAATCCTGAATCAATACCCATTCTGCTTCCTGCATGACATGCATGTTGAACAACATGCATATTCATGCTTTTATGAAATCTGCAGTACAAACATGCACTCATTATATGTGAATGTTGATTCGAAATTGCCTATCGCCAGTTGTTGGCTTAGGCAATCACGCAGTGAAAAGATTTTTTGTGCGAGTACATGTTCAATTATAGTGTATGTTTTGGTGCAAATCATTTTGATTTTCAAGGGGTTCCTTACCACATCTGACTAAAAATTTTCCTTCTCTGGTAAAGAGAGAATTTGAATTTAACAATCTTGAGTTATTCTGGTAAAGAGAGAATTTGAATTTAACAATCTTGAGTTATTCTGGTAAAGAGAGAATTTGAATTTAACGATCTTGAGTTATGCAGTGGGTATTTTGATAGAGTAAACAAGAGATTTGGAAATGTCATAATTGAATCTTGAAATGAGTTGTCAGAATTATGAACCTTGTATTAGACTTTACTAATCAGCCAATAATATTGCATAGATATTAAGTATAAATAATGAAGTGTAACAAGAGGATTTGTTATTGCATGACAGACATTTGCTATATTTGATGAGAAAAATATCAATAATTGTGAATTTCATTGAATTTTGGGTTAGTGCACCTGTCTGTCTGTATACTGACATTTTGTTGAACTCATTTTGATTTCACACATCCTCCTTGAAAGTTTCAACAATTAAACCCTTATCATTACTAACAAGTTCTAGAAGTCAGAATCTGTGGTGTTGTTTCATTCATCATTTCTCCATGTTCTACCTTATCATAAATTTCTATGGATAGTATTCATTTGTGTGTCTTTCATACAATATAAAAGGTACCAAAAAAGTGTAAAGACACCTGGCAAATGTTTTTGAAATTTTTTTTTTATTTTACAATATAGCTATGTTGGCTTCAGATCATATCTCGTTTTTCAGATCAAATTGAACGGTATGGGTATTGAACAAGTCTTCTGGCATTATACTATTTACTTTTGTTGTTGTTTGACATGAGCATGTAGTTACTTCATGAGATGTTGATATTATGTTAATGATATTTTTATCAAAAACGCAGATATCCACACTTGAATTGTATCTAGCATTTAAATATTTCATTTCATCAGAAATTCTGATATGAAAAGTAGTCTCATGATTTCAATGATTGATTGACATTTGTTTTTCAAAATGTAAACATCATAAAAATGATACATGTTGTTTATTCTGTTAATGATCAAGATGGATGCACGTATATCTGCATGCTGTATGTAATCTCATGAAAACTTTGCCTAAATTTGTGTTTTCCATACTTAGATATTTTTAAAACATTCCATTAATACCACATTTATGGAATATATATGGTTTGATAAAAGAAAACAAAATAAAAATAAAGTCGTTTTGAGTTATTGTGATAAAAGTATTTTCCCAATATGCCTGTCATATTCAGTATATGAACATGAGTGATATAGTTGTAAAATAGCTGATACCGCTGTGATCTGCAACTGATGTAATTACACCATATCAACAACACGGATCATATAGTGCCATCTGTGTTCATATGATATGACACATGTGTACTTAAATTGCAATCAGGCTTTGTATTTATATAGAAATCCAAGCTTACTTTTGCTTAATATATAAGATATGACCCCTTTTTGGCATCTCATAACAATGTAATATAAAATTTGATAATCATCAGTCTAAATGAGGCGGGTTTAATTAATGTAGCTTATATGTGTAATGTGTATCATAATATGATGTTTTAGACACACAATTTGTAATTACCATGTAGCTGTCATTTCATACTGAAATTGTCAGCGTCATCTCTGACCCTGTTAACCCCTTTTTCATTATTTAAAGTTGTTGTCTTCCCGTTTCATTGCAGTTTATTGCATGATCACAGACAAGTTGTAAACATATATATGGGAAACGTAGACAGAGCAGTTGCTCTGCGTGATATACTAAAACACTTAACAATGAATTCTAAGTCATACTCACCCTGATTATTTATCAAACGTTCATTTCATTCAGTTAATATCTCTGGTATATCACCATAAATATCGTCCACATAAACAATTTAATAATCTAGAAATCTAGATTTTTTACCTTAGTGAAGTCATCTATTTTGATGGGGCCCAATTATGGTGGTTTTACAAAAAATTGTTATTTCGTGAATGAGTATAGCTTATGTATACTAATTATGAAGTTTGTAGACATGCATTCACAGATTTAGAGTCCAAACAAGGAAATCAACAAAACAAAATTTCAACAAAAGTTTACGATTTGCTGCGGTCACAATGCAGACTGCTAGGAACTTTGTATTATGTTTCAGCATGTGTATCTTTTTTCACAATTACAATATGATCAATGACCCCAAGAATTAAGAATATGTCCATGATTACACCAGAGCCATTTGTATAATGAATGGTTAGAGGATTTATGATGGGATTTACAGATCAGCAATGAACTGTATCACTGTTAGTACAGCAAACAGGTGTGATGTATAAAAAATGTTAATTCAGATTATATTATATATTATATATTATATATTTAAAGTCGTTTCTCGACTAAATGAAAAATAAGTGTACACCATTTAATAATGGTTTTATATAAAGAATTCTATGGTTTTTTTTATTAGAATTTGATCTGAAAATTCATATACTATGATTTTCCCAAAATTTTGACATTATTTGTTTATGAATATAAACAATGATCAAAGTCACATACACAGATGTTTTCATTCTTCTGAACGATTTAATTCTGCCAATTCATTATATTTCTTTCAGCAAGAATTCAACAATCACTTGAGGAAATATACCTAATGGCAAACATGTAAGTCCCCTTAAAACATCGTATTTCGGGTGTTACACGACATCTTTCACTTTGATACAAGTTAGATGCTGTTATAACCATAGATGTATAAATGGTACAACTACATCACCCTCTACCTCAGAAATGCATAGGTTATGTATTATCCATAACTAAAATATATCTTGTGCACATTTGTAGAGTTGTGACTGCATTGCTAAATGACGTCCGGAGCTACCTAGGATGTCTCTACAAATTGACGGAGTCTGTGGCTATTATAGATGTTCTTCTGTCCTTTGCTCATGTGTGTACTCTTTCAAATTATGGTAAGTTCCATTTTTTTCTGTAAGACTGTTATAGTAAGACTAAAAATACTTCAGACAATTTGTGTAAATCGTACATTTATCACATGGCAATTATATATTTTGCAGTGAGACCGGAATTTACAGACACTTTAGCCATTAAGCAAGGTCGACATCCCATTTTGGAAAAGATTGCGATAGGCCAGACGATACCAAACAATACTGTAAGGAAACACTTGAACATTGTTTTGAAAGTATGAAAATATATTTGATACATTGTATATTCAACAACCTGCCCAAGAATACGTGAATATAGAATTAACATTACGGATGGTCTTCAAAAACATCCACAGGCTGTTTCTGTGAGGATTCATACTCTGATACAATGTTCATATAGCTTATTGGTAGAAGTCAATGTTTATCAACATTATTTTTAAGCATCAGCTACCATGTTTTAAATTCTATATTATTTCATCTTACCATAACAATTTTTTTGTACTTTGTCAGTATGCTTCAGATGAGAGTAACTTCCTTGTGGTAACTGGACCAAACATGGTAAGTGTCTTTAGCGCTTATTCAATGTATAGTCAATGCAATGATTTCATTCAAACAGTGAGAATCCGCTAATTAATGGCAATAGTGGTGACTTTTGAATCATTTAGTTTCTAGTAGTTACACCTCTATTGTGAATGACCATTTTTGTATTTATCTTCATGCATATCTGGTTAGGAAAGAACTTATATAGGTTGTGCCTTTTTGATCCAGAAGTTTTGTATCATCAAGGAAAGTGACTGAAATAAGGCTGAAATACATTGTTTCATTCTTTCATTTTCATGAATGCAGAAATAAATGACTTTCAAACTATAGTCACCACACTTAACATGAGTAATATGTATATTGACATGAAGATTTGTTATAAAACTTTCAACATTTGATGTGCTTTCCATACTGAATGGAAATCAATGTTGACAAAATATAATTTGAGTCATAACTGAGTGTAGATGGATTATCTCCCTTTGTCTATGTGTTGTCAAATTAGTAGGAGTAGGAGATTTCACAGATTAGCTCAAACAACTGCACATAAACATGTTGAATACTAAAGTATTGGTTATGATTGGGAAATCTCCTAAAATGATAGCAATGAAATTTTCTCTTGAAAATATCACTATAATCACTTCTAAAGTTCGTTTAGGCTGATACAGTTGTAATCAGTCATTAACAACAAATTCTGCAAGCCAAAAACATACCGTGCAATTTAAACCTAAAGGGTACAATTGTGCCAAAAAAATCTAAAGGTACATTTCTCTTCTTATCAACTTCCTACTATATACTCGTCCTACATAATTAATAAAGCCTGGAATGTGTTTAGCTCGCTGGACTCTATTGCTGGCATTTGTACGATTCATTCCAAGTTTTTAGAATATGATAATATACTGGTTCCACAGACATGACATTCTTGTAAAGTTTAGCGATGCACAATAAAATCCGAGGGTTAAGAACTAGAGATTACGTTTAAATGCACTGCACAAGGCTATAATAACTGTATCGCTACCTATTATACATGGGTAGACCATATGACCTGTACTACACATGACACGGGAAATGCACGTGCCAAGTATTCTTAATACCTTGTCCCTACTACACCATCATATATGTCAGGAAACTTCTAAACAATAGCTTTCTGCTATATTACGAAACACAGAAAAAATATTACAGTTTGTGTATATCAGGTATGTAATAGGGACTTTATGGGGCTTCATTAAATGCGTGATTTGTGAAGTAGTATCCATACAAATGTAAGTGGAAATATGTTTTGTTCTACTTTGGAATTGTGCACATTGTTTTTTTCAGAGTGGAAAGTCAACATATCTTCGTCAAATTGCTCTACTTCAAATTATGGCCCAAGTTGGATGCAATGTCCCAGCTGAGTACGCATCTTTCAGAATAGTGGACCAGATTTTCTCAAGGATAAGCACTGAAGATGAAATGGAAACTAACTCCTCAACGTTTACGTTAGAGGCAAGAACAAAAATGATAATTCTGCATCAAACTAAAGCTATATTTCTTTGTGTAACATGTCATATACTTTACACACAATTAATGTTTATGTTAGAGACAAGAACAAAAGTGACACTGATGCATCAAAGTAAAGCTATACTTCTGTGTGTAACACTTCAAACACTATACACATAATTGTATATAATGATCATTACCCTTACTGAATGAGAGTTCAGATGTCCTGTTGTTTTATCAAAGGAAGCATTCAGTATAACATTGGTACTTGCTTTCGTATGCCTAATTTATATATTTATATGTAAGAACTTTGCAGTGCTAAACTTGTCTTCAAGGACAAAAAATGATGTTTTAGTTCAGAAGGCAAAAATAATGTATTAGAAATGTTTTTCTGCTTTCATAGATTATATATTAACTTTACGTTCAGATGAAAGAAGTGAATTACATCATCCAGAATGCGTCAAACAGATCATTGGTAATAATAGATGAACTCGGAAGAGGTATGCTTTTCTTATACTTATATTGATCAAATAGATAATACGATAGCTTTTAAAATGTGTTCTTGAAATATTCAATTACTCTAATGGTTTTAACCCTGCATTTACTTTGGAAATGTCCTTTACCATTTTTCTGAAATGTTTCTTGATGTTGAAAATGTCTTCCCATGTTGTTTAAATCCATTGATTTCATATCACATTTCTACTGTTTTAATACCTGTTTCATCTCTACTATCAGCCTCTTGTTTTACTGCTACCAATATTATTTAGGTACCAGTCCAGAAGAGGGAGTTGGAATCTGTCATTCTATCTGTGAATATCTGATTCAATTGAAGGTAAATGAAACTTGAATTGTTTAAGCTAAAATACCAAATATAGTATGTTATACTTATTGATGTCAATTATAATTTGAGACATAGAAACATCAACTGAATAAGTAGTCCTCAGATATTATGGTATTCCGTCCAAAAGATGTACATATCTATTCTGTGTATATATTCAGTCGATGTTATACTTTAAATATGTTATTACATAATACAACTTTATTAGCAATGTTGGGATAGATCAGTCCTACACCACAAACCTTGCAGTTGGATGACTGTTACATGCAAATCAAGAAAATCTGCACTCAAGTTTCACTACATTATATTATGCACCTTTTTAAGTCATCGCAAGACGGTATCATCATGGGTATATTTGAAGGGAACCTTTTAATCCCTTCAAGTTGATATCAGTAACCGTCCACTGTTTACTTTGAATAGCTGTATGAATGTTTGTGGTAGTTGTTAGAAGCAGTATATCTAGGACAGTTCTTGAAATTTATGAAATATTTCCGAATGACAAACCTTTTAGTATGTAACCTTCAGAGAAACTCACTGATCTAATCATTTCTTTGTTTTCTAGGCATTTACCATTTTTGTCACACACTTCCTTGAATTGACCAATTTAGATGTGCTGTATCCCAATGTGGAAAAGTATGATTTTTTAAGTAACTATCGTTGCTTAGGTAATGTGTGTCACGTCATACCACAAATGAATTGTCCTAAATATATTATAGCTGCTTGTGTTTCATTACCAACCCACACATCTTACTCATTTGGTTTAATTAAACTTCATTAATTTTAAAAGTTATCAATTTATTATTGTGTTTTTCCATCACTCTTTGTTTGCCAAGAGGAAAGCATGAAAGGGCATTAAAATTTTTGGACTAAATAGAATACCTTGACAAATTCGACAAAACCAGACATTTGCTCTTCAACCTTTTCACTACTGATCGAGAAATTGATACCACCATGATGTTTTTACAGCTACTGTTTTGAGGTTCAAAGATCTATTTGCACCGAAAGCGCAGAGGAGAAAATAATTTTCACACACACAATTCAAAAAGGCAAAACGGAAGAGCGACATTATGGTATGTTTGTAGACATGGTTCATAAATAGTCGAATCTTAAAATAACATTTCATTATGCATCTAAAAAATATATTCTTCATTGAACCTCACAATTCACACTACTCTACTTTGATACCGTAGATTTCGATACAGAATAAGGATTTGAAGGAATTTTGTTTAACATGGCAATTTGGTTTGCCCGAGTCGATATGACCATTGGAGATTAGTGAATGTTTATGGTCCAACACAACTGTTCTATCTTTTGATTCAATTCTATATAATAGATTTGTACACATGTAACCCAGTTACTTATTGAATTTCTTCCTGTTAATATATGTGATATTAGTAAAGTTGAGATAACTGGTTTGTAAATAATTGTGATGTATCGTTTTCTTTTATACGATGTGAGCATATGAAATGGCTTTTTGATTTGAAAGGATTGGTACATTGTGTGTTAGGCAAACAAGGGAATTAATTGGTACAATGATTTTATGCTAAATCTTTTATTATGCAGGAATTCTATGTACCATTTTAGGGCTTGTTGGTGATATTAGGGACACGCTGTGTGATAATGGAGAAGGTTGTTGTAAAATCGCTACAGTCATTAACATTAAAATTAGTAGAACTATATAAATACTTATTTAATTATTAATATTGTGGGGGAAGATGAATAGTGTGAAGTTTGTCACAAAAGTGTGACTGCTTTGGAGGCGGAGGTATAGTGGTTCCTAAGATGACATAGCATTGATGCCATTCCCCTACTGAATGACACATAACACATAACAGTAGCAAAATGTGTGGGTGCTAGATTGGCCATCAAATCAATCAATGCTTTCATAAGAGGATCCCAATTTTAGTAGTTAAGTGAACAGCATCTCCCCTGTTGCTGTTGTTGTTTTCAAAGTTCCATGCAACGACACTGCAACATTGTATACCATGCAGTTATCTATGTACAAAATTATTGTTATTTGAAAGTCTCAATCCAGCTTCTTCGAAAGCTATGTCAAACATGCTGAACCAGACGTCTTGTATTAATTGCAAGATAAGTAGGTTTACATTTTCTTTTTTTGATCAAGTGTAAGCCGTGTAATTAGTTAAACTGAATCATACGACTTTTGAAAGTGGACAAAGTTACAAAAAGGACTTATAAAAGAAGAGAAATTTATTTTAAGAAATTGTTTTTATGGCTTTTAATTGCTTCTAGAATGTCTGTTTTAATTTCTGTTTAGAAGATGCAAGAGGAATTAAGATGTAAATTATACACACATTTTCAGGAATGGAATTGGCAAGAATGTCAAGTCTACCACGAGATGTGATTGAAAACGCAGCCACTTGTGCCTTAAAACTTTCCCGAGCAAAACATGTAAGTATTTTACTTAATAATGGTAAATGTTAAACTTTGGTCTTAACAATTTTAGTTTTAAACAATAGAGCATCATCTGATTCCTTTACTGATCAGAAAATGTCCAACTTTCATTCCTCCAAAGTTCTGTAACAGTCTTCACTCCCTTGATTCACCCATCATAATCAACATTGTCATTACCAATAATCGGATCTAATTGTGATAACAGTTTGACTACAAGCTTTTGGGATCATTTTCTGCAACTTAAAATTAAAATAAATGGCACACGTGTTTTTATTCAAGCTTATTACCCAAATGTACCTCGTATTCCATGAAAATGCCTTAACCTTGTCATGTGATCAGTCATGTGATCTGCTCAGCTTTTTTTTTTACAAACATCGGGTAAGGTACAAAATGTTGAACCCGAAAAATTTATATATATTCAAGACGCTATATGAATATGCTTATTGTATTGTCAAGAGGATAAAATACCCATTTACTGATATTGGAAACTAAAGTTGTAATTGCTGAAGGGTTTTAGGTCAATACATTTTGTGTTTGCATGTAATCAATGATATAAATACATGTTTCAGTTGGTGGATGGCAACACTGCAGAGAGTAACAAACAACGAGCTGTGTTCAAACTTGCAACCAGGCTTGTTCAAACTGCTCGAAATTCTAGACTGGATTCAGATGGACTCAAGATCTATCTTAATGGTATGAAGAGTCAGTATTTAAAAGAATCAGCAGTGATTTCTCAATAGAAATGTTCCTGTATCTGTTTAAATGTTATTCCTGTACGGTATTACAATTATCTAGATTAACTACCAAATAATTTAAAAAGAATTGTCTGGTTTATTAAATTTCTACTGTGTATCTACAAGTACTGATTGAAATAGCTGTATCATACATCAATTGGCTTAAACCCTTATGTCAATTTTAATGTTCAGTTCAGATGTGTGTTGAAATCTTAATAAACCGTGTTGTAACTAGATATTAAGTTGTTTATGCCAACACAATACTGTAATTATTTTGAAGACCTTTTAATGCTGCAAGTACACAATTATGATGGGTCATTTGTTAAGACATAATATTATGACATGATGTATTTGGTGCGACATCAAATACATCATGTCAAAATATTATGTCTTATCCTGCCTGTAGCTGTACAGTATTTGAAGGTCTACGTACAACACTTGTAATTACATAACATTACTCAACAGCTTGAAATTAATATATTTGTTGAATTTAGAAGCATAACGCTGTGTATTTTTGCAATTCCATATTATCTCAATATTTCAATTACAGAATTAAACATCATAGGTTTAATTGTTCTTTATGTGGTCAGAGAGAGAACAGATTTATGTGTTATCCATATGAATGTGCTTTTGGTACAACCATTATAAAATACTATTTTTACACACACCCTTCTCACACAGACAAATATAGTTAAAGTCGTATACAATAATTGCTTTATGCGTCGGTCCATCTCAATTAAGAAGTATTTAGTTATTTTTTGGTCAAACATCAATTCTGTGCAACCGACAATTTTTATAAATGTTGACATGATTTGCACTTAGTCATTCTAGATGAAATGTTGTGATTAGGAGAGTTAGTTAGGATGGTGATATTTTGCATGAAAGATGCAGTAAAAGTGGAAGATATTTTATTAGAGATAGTGTTACTGTGTTATTTTTAATACTTCACTGTAACTGCATTTATGATAAAGAAAAAAATTCTCTCGGAGTTCCCTTTGCCTGATATTAAAGTGTATAAACTTAGTGTAATTAATATTCACAGGATAATGTAAAACAAGATAGGTTCTTTGCACATGCATATTGCCGGGAAGCACAGGTCACATCATGCATAGGTGTTTGATGGAGTTAATCTAAATTTGGACAACAAATATGTGTAGGTTCGTTTATGATTTATTAATACCGCTTTTAGTGGATATTTTAAATTTACCTTACACATGTTTACCCTGGGCTTGTATATTGCTTTAACTAACCAATAAAAAGACATCTAACTTTGAAGTATATGAATTCACACGTACATATTCTGCATATATATTTGGAAACTGAAAGAAAAGAATAAAACCAAATGAAAAGAAATTTAAACTTTATTATTTATTTTACAATAGATATGGAACAGATTTTTTCAAAGTTATAGTAATTACTTTTAGTTGGGTCGGATGGAAGTGCGCAAGAGGTCTTAGTAGTAGGAGGAAACCGGAGTCCCCGGGGAAAACCTGCATGAATTACTGCATGTTTTTGATGACAGTATGTGTCTAATTTTATACCTATTCCACTCTGATATATTACAATAGACAGACAGCACAACATTTCACGATGTGTGAGAACACACCAGGCACAAACGACTGACAAATTATAACTGTGTTCATGTTTTCATATTGGTGAAAACACATTCATTCAGTTTCCTTCAAAATTGAGCATTGAGCAAAAAAGAGCATGGAATTTCCAAATATATAAGTTGTATAATTCTACAAAATTGTATATTGATATACATTTGTGATGACATGGAGCACTCTTTCTTTGCAGATCAAGACAACTTGTTCTCTTTACATTTTATACACCATTTCACATTTCAAAAACAAAAATATATTTTCATTGTCATTCAACAGTTATGAAAGGACATGCCAATGTATTCTTGTTCCTTTAGACACAATAATTGTGCAAGTCACTTTAGTAAAGCAGAGATCTTGTCCTTGATTCTGATTCATTTCATCAAAGAGTGACTATGAGTTATCAGCTGTGAGTCGATCCTATGAGAAAATATGATTAACCACCATTTCGTCTTTAGCGACAACTACATGCGGTAACCCTGATTCCATCTAGACGAACAAGTATGTTAGCGTCATCTTCCACGTAACTTATGGAAAGTGGTGCCATTTCCGAAGCTGTGCAGCACACATCTGGTGGAATGCCATGCCTAGACACGTTATGGTACATACGATACAAATCTACAACTCCCGAGTGATGGGAGTATTTCATACTGGTATGGTCATATAATGGCGTCGGACAGCCACCAACACAAACATTTGCATGGAAACTTGTAGGGTTGGAAACATAACTCCAACCAATTTCCGTGAAACTCACTGTCCATGGGTGCACATGACATAGGTTTGTCTCCAAATGTTCCGCTGATGATCCAATTGGTGCTGGCGTGTTCTGCGAGGGAATCTCAGTCATTTCCTGATTTTCAGATCTTTTGATTCTGATTCGATATGTTTCTCTTTCAACAAGCTTATCTAGTACATCTGTATAAGGCGTATGCATAGAAAACTCCTTCCAAAAGTCTAAATGCAAATTAATTTGAATAACAAGGGCGATGGAGAATTTATTGAAGTGCCCACACCGCAGATATCGCTTTCTATTTTTCACACAGACTCTGAATCTGATTGTTTTGTGGCCATTAGAAAGATGATGATATAGACGATGTGTGACATTTAATGCATGTCCTTCGACTGTCCACTTTGCGATTTTCCAAACTGAAATAAGTTCAAACACAGGATTAAAATATGAGACGATAGCCAGAAAATTGTTTTTATGTTTGCTAGAATTTTGCTTTGGCTAGACATACTGTAGGATATTTCTAAATGTAATCATGAAATGAAATTAAATTGAAATCATACACCTACCGTCCATAGTCATTGCGTTATCATTTCATTTAATTCATTCAGAAAGGGAAAAAAATCCTTTTAAATAAAAGAAGTAAGGGATGTGTGATTAGTAAATCAAACAGAAAAATGATAAAATGCATGTAATTTGAGTATTAAATAAAAGATAGTTAATTTGGCTCAATCTTCCAGGTGATATTATGATTTTCTGTTATCACCTTTTTCTCTATTTCACAATTCAAAGCTAAAAATGATATAGAACAAAAAATCTCTTTCTAATTTGGTTTGGGGAAGGGAGCCATTTTATATATGTTGAGTGTGGTTTCGAATGTGTGAATCAAAATCAGTTTTGTATAAATCGAGGGCCTGGGAAAATCTATATTCAGATAGATATAAAATAAAAATGGTTAGACCCAACCCCACTCCTATTCCTGGATGGAAGTTTACATCTTAAACAGGACTTTTATAACAATAAAATTGAAAAAAACATTGATCAAAAAGGGCTTCCAATACCCTTCTGTTTCACAACGTTGCAAAAATATTCAAGTACTGAACAATGGTGGGATTCTAAAAATTGACATAATTGTTCATGGGCATAGGTACATGTATTGACGATAATTATAAATCTCGGGGTGGGAGGCAATAATAACGTTGAGTCAGTTGTTGATTGACATTGTCTTAACATATGAGAGAGTGCTTACAACTCTACACTTTGAGAACGTAGCTCATCATGTGTTCTCTTTCCCCTGCAATGAATTTGATGCATCAATTTTAAAGAAATGCATTATCTACTCCATGTAACACTTACAGTGAAGCTTTTGAGTGTGGGATCCCGTCGGAGGCGACACCCGTACTCGTTCAAAATTGTGATCATAATCCTTTATAACAAGGTCTGCTCGTTGGATTTTAGAAATATTGTTGATTGTTTTTGGTAAGTTGAAAACTTGTTCTCCTCCAACTGCAATGAAATATGTCAACTGATCAGCTTTAGGAAGGACTGAAACACTTGTATTACAAAATATGGATGGTTATCACCTGTAGAAAAAGGTCATATTCAGTGTTTTTCTCATGTTCTGGTGATATTCTCTTTACATTTATAAATCTAAAGATGCAAGAAATCTAAAATATGTGACCAGTTTTAATGGTACTTGGTGCATTTGTTTCTGATATCAAGTGTTAGATACACAATACAATTTAACAATGGTTTTACGGTCTGATACACAATACAATTTAGCAATGATTTTACGGTCTGCAAATTAAGTATACAATAAAATTGGTAAGACTTTGGTTGCCTGTTGCGAGGGCATGTCTGGCTTTGAGGTTCCTTTATAAATTACTCGTGTAAATTTAAAGAAGCCTCTGTCTGGCCTTATGAATTATTTATAAACTAATATATGGTGTTGTCTGTATTACAATATAGCAATATAAAAGAACACAAGGGAAATGACTTAATTATTTATACTGAGCTTAGTATTTATTTTGTGAAGCAGAAACTATATAGCAAAAGTGGAGATATGATATGTGGAAACATACAAACACTATACGTCTACTTCATTTTCATTTGGGGGTGGGGAGGGGGGGGCGGGGGCTGGGGCCCCCAGGGGGTCCAAAGCAGGCCCCTGGTGAGGGTATCGGAGGGGCAAAGCCCCTCGACGGAAAATGAATTTCATGATTTCAAAGATGTTTTGAATTGTTTTCTGAGACAGGCTTTTTTTTTTTATCTATTTCACAACATACTTTGAACCCCTGACAAAATAACAGCTAACTTTTTGTTCTTTTGATTCGCGAAAATGTCCATGACAATTTCCATATCTTGGTTACATGTACCATTCGGTCTTTGATGTGTCACTTTTAATGTGGTCACTCGATTCGACTTTTTTTGTTTGAAAAACTTGCCGATCGACGTCTGTAATCCAGAAGCCTTCTTCATTTTGAAAATTTGCACTTTAACAACATTATAATCGGAAACGTTGAAATGATAGTAAGAAGTAGAATAGTATGACGTGTATAAAGTTCCGGAAAGCAATGCACTAGGCCTAGTTGTTCAACAATTTTCTATCTATATTTTTTTTATTTATCAAAAATATTAGATATTTATTTTCAACCTTAGTTTTGTAATTTTGTCCGACATACTCTATGCACGAATTTTTATATGCAAGCCCGGGCTTTTTCTTTCTATGGAAGCTACGCCCCTGTTTTTTAGAGGAACGAGCTGAAAGTTGTATGATTGTCTACCCGACCAAGTTAGTTTTCTATAGGTACTGCGGTTCCCTCACACACTAAACTCCGGCCGTCGTGTGTGTCAATCTTCATCTGTTGTTATTAAGTTAGTATGTTTTGTTTCACATTTTTTATAAAATGAAATAAAGGTAATAATTCGTTTTTTATATTATTTAAAGTAACCACATTGTTTAACTTTCCGGAAAATTGGATATCACCATCAATGTTTACAAAGGATAGTAAGTTATACTCCTTTATGATCTTCCGTACAATTCATCCCTATCGTTACTGGAACATTAATGCTTAATAGAGAAACAGTTACAACTATGCTATTGTTACTGCTTCAATAGAAGAACATTACATTGATAACACAAATCTCTTAGACCCCATGTAGATTGATTTGGGTATCACTTATTATTATTATATATCAAATACTTACTCGTACAGGTATGTTACTTGTTTATCAGATAAGATTTATTTCTAAAGTGAGGACATCGCGAATGTCTACCAACAGAAGCGGTGACCTCAAAGAGCTCGAGAGGCAAAAGCTTGCAAGAGGTAATGGTTGTGAACATAGATAAATTTTCTTGTCTATATGATAAAGCAATTCATTCTTTTTTTCAGACAATAACATACATTTTATATATTAATACAATCACGCATCGACATACATACACAACCATACATTTACACCCTCACACCTACCTAGAGTATAAGTATATGATAAGTGTTCCACGAAAATAACTGTCTATACTGCAATAGAAAGCAATTCATTACGTCTCTAATTGTATGAATACTTTGTCACAAATGTTCTCAAACCTATATAGAATATAATTCTTGTTACATTTAATTTTTTATTCATTACATAAAATCTTTTAACAAGTTGAATTATACCCGGAAATAAGTTGTTCAACAATGTTATCTAGAGATTGATGTTAACATAGGATGCATCATTCAAGATGGTGGCCATGTTCTAAAAATACACCAATGACTGTCAATCCATCACTTTTTGTGTCGCCTGCAGAGCTGGAGGACACTTTGGGATCATTTTGTCCGTCGTCACGCGTCGGCGGCGTCCGTACGAAAGTTTTCCGAACTTTTTTCGATTATGTTTTGAATTATCAAAATGAAATTTAGTATATGGCTTCATGTTGGAAGGGAACAGATTAAGTTCGATTCCTGGTTGTCTGTAACCCTTCTTGGCAGAGTGATGCCCCTTTGAACTTAGAAAATTCTCTGGGAATATTGTTTTCTTGATGGTCCTCCTGAGGTGATGATGATGTAACCTGAGATAATGGTCCTCCTGAAGTGATGACATTGTTACCTGAGATAGTGGTCCTCCTGAGGTGATGATAGAGTTACCTGAGGGAATGATAATGTTACCTGAGATAGTGGTCCTCCTCAGGTGATGATAATGTTACCTGAGATAGTAGTCCTCCTGTGGTGATGATAATGTTACCTGAGATAGTGGTCCTCTTGAGGTGATGATAATGTTACCTGAGATAGTGGTCCTCCTGAGGTGATGAAAATTTTACCTGAGATAGTGGTCCTCCTCAGGTGATGATAATGTTACCTGAGATAGTGGTCCTCCTGAGGTGATGATAGTGCTACCTGAGATAGTGGTCCTCCTGAGGTGATGATAATGTTACCTGAGATAGTGGTCCTCCTGAGGTGATGATAATGTTACCTGAGGTGATGATAATGTTACCTGAGATAGTGGTCCTCCTCAGGTGATGATAATGTTACCTGAGATAGTGGTCCTCCTGTGGTGATGATAATGTTACCTGAGATAGTGGTCCTCCTGAGGTGATGATAATGTTACTTATGGTCCTCCTGAGGTGATGATAATGTTACCTGAGGTGATGATAATGTTACCCTGAGGTGATGATAATGTTACCTGAGATAATGGTCCTCCTGAGGTGATGATAATGTTACTGAGATAATGGTCCTCCTGAGGTGATGATAATGTTACCTGAGATAATGGTCCTCCTGAGGTGATGATAATGTTACCTGAGATAGTGGTCCCCCTGAGGTGATGATAATGTTACCTGAGATAGTGGTCCTCCTGAGGTGATGGTGATGTTACCTGAGGAAGTGGTCCTCCTGAGGTGATGATAGTGTTACCTGAGGTGATGATAATGTTACCTGAGGTGATAATGTTATCTGAGGTAGTGGTTCTCCTGAGGTGATGATTGTGTTACCTGAGGTGATGATACTGTTATCTGAGGTGATTATAATGTTACCTGAGATAATGGTCCTCCTGAGGTGATGATAATGTTACCTGAGATAGTGGTGCTCCTGAGGTGATGATAATGTTACCTGAGATAATGGTGCTCCTGAGGTGATGATAATGTTACCTAAGATAATGGTCCTCCTGGGGGGATGATAATGTTGCCAGAGATAATGGTCTTTCTGAGGTGATGATAATGTTACCTGAGGTGATAACAATGTTACCTGAGATAATGGTCCTCCTGGGGGGATGATAATGTTGCCAGAGATAATGGTCCTCCTGAGGTGATGATAGTGTTACCAGTGATGATAATGTTATGTGAGGTGATGATAATGTTACCCGAGGTAGTGGTCCTCCTGAGGTGATGATAATGTTACCTGAGATTGTGGTCCTCCTGAGATGATGATAATGTTACCTGAGATTGTGGTCCTCCTGAAGTGATGATAATGTTACCTGAGATGATGACAATGTTACCTGAGATAATGGTCCTCCTGAGGTGATGATAGTGGTACCTGAGGTGATGATAATGTTACCTGAGATAGTGGTCCTCCTGAGGTGATGATAATGTTACCTGAGATAATGGTCCTTCTGAGGTGATGATAATGTTACCTGAGGTGATGATAATGTTACCTGAGGTGATGATAATGTTACCTAAGATAATGGTCCTCCTGAGGTGATGATAATGTTACCTGAGGTAGTGGTTCTCCTGAGGTGATGATAATGTAACCCGAGGTAGTGGTTCTCCTGAAGTGATGACAATGTTACCTGAGATAGTGGTCCTCCTGAGGTGATGATAATGTAACCCGAGGTAGTGGTCCTCCTGAGGTGATGATGTTACCTGAGATAGTGGTCCTCCTGAGGTGATGGTGATGTTACCTGAGGAAGTGGTCCTCCTGAGGTGATGATAGTGTTACCTGAGGTGATGATAATGTTATCTGAGGTGATTATAGTGTTACCTGAGATAGCGGTCCTCCTGAGGTGATGATAGTGTTACCTGAGGTGATGGTAATGTTACTTGAGGTGATGATAATGTTACCTGAGATAATGGTCCTCCTCCTGAGGTGATGATAATGTTACCTGAGATAATGGTCCTCCTGAGCTGATGATAATGTTACCTGAGATAGTGGTCCTCCTGAGGTGATGATAATGTTACCTGAGGTAGTGGTCCTCCTGAGGTGATAATGTTACCTGAGATAGTGGTCCTCCTGAGGTGATGATAATGTTACTGAGATAGTGGTCCTCCTGAGGTGATGATAGTGTTACCTGAGGTGATGATAATGTTACCTGAGGTGATGATAATGTTACCTGAGATAATGGTCCTCCTGAGGTGATGATAATGTTACCTGAGATAGTGGTCCTCCTGAGGTGATGATAATGTTACCTGATGTTACCTGAGGTAGTGGTCCTCCTGAGGTGATGGATGTTACCCTCCTGAGGTGATGATAATGTTGCCAGAGGTGATAATAATGTCTTTCTGAGGTGATGACAATGTTACCTGAGGTGATAACAATGTTACCTGAGATAATGGTCCTCCTGGGGGGATGATAATGTTGCCAGAGATAATGGTCCTCCTGAGGTGATGATAGTGTTACCTGAGGTGATGATAATGTTATGTGAGGTGATGATAATGTTACCCGAGGTAGTGGTCCTCCTGAGGTGATGATAATGTTACCTGAGATTGTGGTCCTCCTGAGATGAGATTGTGGTCCTCCTGAAGTGATGATAATGTTACCTGAGATGATGACAATGTTACCTGAGATAATGGTCCTCCTGAGGTGATGATAATGTTACCTGAGATAGTGGTCCTCCTGAGGTGATGATAATGTAACCCGAGGTAGTGGTTCTCCTGAAGTGATGACAATGTTACCTGAGATAGTGGTCCTCCTGAGGTGATGATAATATTACCAGAGATAATGGTCCTCCTGAGGTGATGATAATGTTACCTGAGATAATGGTCCTTCTGAGGTGATGATAATGTTACCCGAGGTAGTGGTTCTCCTGAGGTGATGATGTAATGTCCTACCTGAAGTGATGATAATGTTACCTGAGTGGTCCTCCTGATGTGATGATAATGTTACCTGAGATAATGGTCCTCCTCAGGTGATGATAATGTTACCTGAGATAGTGGTCCTCTTGAGGTGATGATAATGTTACCTGAGATAATGGTCCTCCTCAGGTGATGATAATGTTACCTGAGATAGTGGTCCTCTTGAGGTGATGATAATATTACCTGAGATAATGGTCCTCCTGAGGTGATGATAGTGTTACCTGAGGTGATGATAATGTTATCTGAGGTGATTATAGTGTTACCTGAGATAGCGGTCCTCCTGAGGTGATGATAGTGTTACCTGAGGTGATAATAATGTTACCTGAGGTGATGATAATGTTACCTGAGATAGTGGTCCTCCTGAGGTGATGATAATGTTACCTGAGGTGATGATAATGTTACCTGAGATAATGGTCCTCCTGAGGTGATGATAATGTTACCTGAGATAATGGTGCTCCTGAGGTGATGATAATGTTACCTAAGATAATGGTCCTCCTGGGGGGATGATAATGTTGCCAGAGATAATGGTCTTTCTGAGGTGATGATAATGTTACCTGAGTTGATGATAATGTTACCTGAGGTGATAACAATGTTACCTGAGATAATGGTCCTCCTGAGGTGATGATAGTGTTACCTGAGGTGATGATAATGTTATCTGAGGTGATGATAATGTTACCCGAGGTAGTGGTCCTCCTGGGGTGATGATAATGTTACCTGAGATGATGACAATGTTACCTGAGATAATGGTCCTCCTGAGGTGATGATAGTGGTACCTGAGGTGATGATAATGTTACCGGAGATAGTGGTCCTCCTGAGGTGATGATAGTGCTACCTGAGATAGTGGTCCTCCTGAGGTGATGATAATGTTACCTGAGATAGTGGTCCTCCTGAGGTGATAATGATGTTACCTGAGGTAATGGTCCTCCTGAGGTGATGATAGTGTTACCTGAGGTAATGATAATGTTACCTGAGGTGATGATAGTGTTACCTGAGGTGATGATAATGTTACTTGAGGTGATGATAATGTTACCTGAGATAATGGTCCTCCTGAGCTGATGATAATGTTACCTGAGATAGTGGTCCTCCTTTGATGATGATAATGTTACCTGAGGTGATGATAAAGTTATCTGAGATAATAGTCCTCCTTAGGTGTTGATAATATTACCTCAGATAGTTGTTTGAAAAGATGTTCAGATGCTGAAAGAATGTTACCTGAGAGAGTGATATTAAGGTGTTCATGTCATAGATGATGTTATGTAAGATGGTGTATTTAGAAATTGCGTTTTCACGACGTCAGATTTTCGGCATGCCTGTACCTTGTGTATAAAAATAAAGACTTTACGGCGTCATCGAGTTTTTGGCAGAACTGTTAAGTGGATTGTCGCCTTGGTTTTCACGATGTCATCGAGTTTTGGCATGCATGTACCGGGTGTATTTGGATTGTCAAGTTAGTTTTTACGACGTCGTCATCGAGTTAAGGCATGCATGCTCAATATGTATTTGGGTCGAAGGGTTTGTTTGCACGAGTATCGCATTGAGAAAACCATTTAATGAATAATAATTTTGCTCAGCTAACATTCTCTCGGGATCATCTGAAGGAGGACCACTTTCTAAGGTTACAATCTCTTGGGATGATCTCTCATCTCAGGAGAAGAACCACCATCTCAGGTAACATATCGGATCATCATTTCCCATCTGTAGAGGAAAGCTACAATCTCGGGTAACATCTTGGGATCATCATTACTGGAGTACCACTATCTCGGGTAACATTCTCGTAGGATCATCATCTCAGGAGGACCACTATATCATTTAACATTCTCTTGGGATCATCATCTCAAGGGGACAACTATCGGGTTCTGCAATTAAAAGACATGACATGACAGCTATCTATTTTTGATATAGCAATTATCTTGAATGATGCACCATGTTTACAGAAGTAACATCTCAGAAACATGACCTCTCCTGATCTAAATTTGTACATAAGAAGATAAAAGCAATGTGGGGGATATAATCATTATTCATCTTGCGATTAATAGACTGAAGCTGTAAAATGAGGCTGAACTGTTTTGTCGGACTCAATTATTCACACGATAAAAATCCTAACACTCCATACGCTTTTCTTCTTTCCGTTTAAAGACCAGTCATCCTAACCATCGCCAGATTGATTGCTTTTCGGATACCGAAAATACTTAACCTGATCCCCCTCTCCTTAGCGGGGACGGTGGCAGTTAATTACTTCAGTTTTATTTGTACAAGAAATGGAAAAGCCTTGTTTTATTTTTATTTTTCATCCTTAAATTGATAAAAACATTTGAAAGTAACTGGGATTACAACCATTTCTTCGTGCCTCGTTAGAAATATTTGTCTGGTCTATAAGTGGAAAGAGATTTTTTTGGTACGAAAAATGTATGGCATGGAATAACTATTTATAGTTAATTACTTCAGATTTATTTGTACAAGAAATGGAAAAGCCTTGCTTTATTTTTATTTTTCATCCTTAAAATTGTTGTACAACAGGACAAGCATTGCTTTATTTTATTGTTCATCCTTAAATTGATATATACATTTGAAAGTAACTGGGATTACAACCATTTTCTCATGCCTCGATAGAAATATTTGTCTGGTCTATAAGTGGAAAGAGATGGAAGATTTTTTGTATGAAAAACGTATGGCATGGAATAACATAAGTCTAGTATGATTGACGTTAAATCAATGATAAGCTTATGTTTACTTTGAACATTCGCTAAGAGAAATCAATAATATATACAGTTAATTACTGACAGTTAGGAAGATGTCAGGTGTAAGTGCCTACTTTTCAAAGAACTAATTTTAAAGACATTTAAAAGAGAATACGTGTATCAAATTAAAGATGTTTTTCTTGATAAGAAATTTTCGGCCGTAAGTTATATTTATTATAAAACACATAAAAACTGAAGTAGAGTAGCGTTAAAGTCGAATTAGATAGAGCCTTGCATGCCTTAATTATATTTTTCCAAAAAAAGCAAAATAACTTTAAACTGTATTACTTTACCTTGATTGGAGTAGAGTATTTTGACTTGTTCAAGGTCGGCAAAGTCTAGTCGTGATCCGATCACACGACGGTATGAGGGATCGTCGTCAGCCTCGGCAAACTGTAGATACCTCCGTAATGTAATCGCAGGGATATATTGTTCATGCCCTGGTGGGTATTGCATATTGCGATATAATGATTCCAAACGTCCCTCCTGTTGTGCTGTTGTAAAACATGCTAACAGAAACGCCAAGTACCAATGTATACTAAATTGCGGATACTTTGCACGTGCAAAACTTTCTGCCATTATCGTTGTAGTCTAGTATGGCTGTACTCTCGTGTTGATGTAAGTTCGAATAAAGAAGCCAATGGAAATGTCCAAACATAACGTATATAAACCATTTCACGTGATGGCGTACAGTCTTTTTTCAGAGCAATATGTAAATTATGAAATATGTACAACTACGACATTACTGGTGGGCGTTACTCTGCGTCGTGAAAGGAAATGGACGTGAACTAGATAGAAATATGAAGGATGTGAGGCTACTGTTTCTCGGTCACCTCTAAATCGCGTGTTTACTTTCTTTATTCTTTTGACCGAAAAACAGGTATACAGTTGTAAATATCAAGCTGCGTAAATAGTTTCACGTATAAATTCGCATTGTTTCGAGTTTTTTTCTCGTGGTATGTCTTTTTTCTGATTTGTTGATTGCTTTGGGTAACATTTCTGAAAATTCTTCCAGATAACGTGATAATGTGAAAAATCAATCAATCAATAAATAAAATAAACGAATAAATCAAAACATGTATCAGTTATGCATGTTTCATTCTCAATTGAATGCCTTGTTTTATAATACGTGCACTAACAGTAATTTCTAGTTGTTGGTGATAAATTGACGTTATCAAATATTAAGGAAGTCACGTCAGAAGGAAGTTCGTAAATTTAATCAACTTTTGTCGGAACATTTTCGTACGAGCAATTAATTAACTTGTGACATGGATTTCACAGATTTCATCGTGCAGTGTCAGTATGATATAGATATTGCTCTAAAGTAATATATTATATATTGTAGAGTTAGTATAATATTGCTAATGCTTTAGAATAATATACATTACATTGAAGCATCACTGTTATAGTTATTGCTCCGAAGTGATAGATATTATATTGTAACGACAGTATATTAGCAATTGTCTGAAATAATAGATGTGATGTAGAATCATAACTCATATCATAACGATTGCTCCAAAGCAGTAGACAATATATTGCAGCGGCACTCTATCATAACGTTTGCTTGATGATATATTAATCATTATATTACAGCGATTGCTCCCAAGTAATAGATAAAATTGGTGTCACTATATTTTAGCGATTGCCCTGAAGTAATAGATAATATATTGGACCGTCACTATAATTTCGAGTTAGTAATCCTAAATTTTGAGTTAGTAAGTCGAAATTTCGGGTTAATATCTCAAAATTTTGACTTGCCCAAAATTCCGACTTACTAACTCATAATTTCGGATTACTAACTCGAAATTTCGAGATAAAATGAAACACAATGTGGCCGGAATACGCTTCCGTACTTCCCCGCGAGTTTTGACTTTTCTTTCGTTCACTTTTGGTTTTCCTCATTCGCTTTCTAGACTCCGGCATCACTAACGAGTCTTAGGACGAAACAGCTGCATGATGCAGTTTAATTCATTGTTTAGCTCTACTATATCGAACTCTGAATTTCTACTTACAGATTATTCACTTGTGTGTCTTTTGTACATCACTGAAGTGGTAGATTACTGTGTCTTTGAAATTATTGTTCGACAAGCTCATTAAAATGTGCCGTATAGAAAATCCTCATTTCATTTTAATCTCAAGGTAAGAGGTTTGACTTGCCCCTTAAAAGCAACCGAAGACATGACACTATAACTCATTATTCTCGACAATTATCCTTTGCTTTACAGCTTACTTATAATGGACTTTATTTAACCTGATAATCAGCAGCAGGCCGAAGGTTTTTTTTCACACATATTGTATTTTTTCAATGATGATGTAATGGCTTTAGTTTTGAAAATTATACGATTTCTAATATATTTAAAGAACATGCAGATATTCAACAATTATGTACTTCTAAGATATTTTAGGAATCATGTAGTTCTAGAATAGTTTAGGAAACTGGAAGTTCTAAAATATTTTTAAAATCCTGTATTTCTAAAATATTTTAAGAATCCTGTAATTCTGAAATATATAAGGAATCCTGTAGTTCTAAAATATCTTATGAATCGTGTTGTTCTAAAATAACCAAGGGTTCACGTAATCCTAATGATACTTTATTAATCAAGTATATCTAAAATATCGTAGTAGCCATTTACTTCTAAAATATTTTAAGAATATTGTAATTTATGTGTTATTTCATGAATGATCTTCCTTTAAAATATCTTAAGAAGACATACCACACAGACACATGCGCGACCTTTAATGGAAAATGGAGGCTCAAACCAGGATCACAAAGCAATCATTTAACTGAATGTTGAATTCATAATGCACTTTGAAAAAATAACATGATAAAAGTTTTTTATTCACAAACATCCAAATGTTCACTTATTTTTAATTATTGTATTTTTTGTTCCGAAATTTTCTCATTTCCCAGATATTCCGAGCAAAAATGCTGTAATTTTCATAGAATTTCCTGATTTTAATGCATCCTCGGATATGATGAAGTATAGACACTAGAAAATAGCAAGCCTTACGGTAGATAACGTAATGCATCCGTCTCAAGTCATACATGTGTTCTCTAATTACCAATGAGACTTCCGGAGCTACGTGCATCCAAATACCTGCACGTTAAGGTATGTAATAATCCTGGCTTGTTTACTTTTCCAAGCGTTTAAATAGGACACAACGAAATTAATTACACTCGTGAATGCCAGGAGGTCAATATTACGTTGTTGATAGTTTTAAAATACATATTTGACACAGTATGACAATGATGTGATAAAATGCTTTAAAGGAATATGAATATGCATTGCCATTTGTGTCGGTTTAGAGAGATTGCTATGACAAAATTAATTTATGCGGGAATTTATAAGACACACAAGTGAATATACCTTTCCATAAAAATTCAAAATTGAGATACAGGAGACCGAAGGAGTGTCAAGAACTAGATGAGGCTAGTGCGATACCCTACATAAATATTGACATTTCTTTCGACTATTTATTTTCTTTTCCTAAGCCGTCTAAGCAGTTTAAGACCTAAGCATCAATGACAATATCGCTCGTGCTAATCGAGGGAATTGTAAACGTGTAGTCATACATAATACACTTTCAGCAAACAGTTGCAATACAATGAATGTTTTCAGTCTCCTTTACTCTGAATTATTTGTTGAAAAGTGAGTCATCAAAACTTCGTTCAACAAATGAAGTTGAAAAACGGTCCTTTTAATTTTCTGACAAAATAGTAAAATTAGGATGGAAATTGACGGTGACCGGATATCTCCTTTTTTCGCTCTGATCAATAAGAGTTGGTGGACTTTTATTCCCTAGGTTTGCCGAAAGCTGCACGTCATATTTTACGTCATTCGAATAGTGGCACGGTTCCGAATATTCTAATGTACTTGGCATTGTTCCAAAATTATTATCAGACATATAGGAAATTTATTGAACAGGTCATCGCATTGGAAGATGTTGGGTTAACAAAATACTGATGCAAAAGATAACAGCACAATTTTCCGTCTTTAGATAAATAATTTATTTTCACAACATAAAAATTAACAATCATCTCTTCAAAACCCAATAACGCATATATCATTTGCAGTACATCATACAATCAACGAGCATACTTTGTAAATTTGATTGACAATGCCACATTCATGTGACATCAAATTATCGCCAAATCAACCGACAGCAATTATAAGCAATCAACAATAATAGTTTGGTGATAAATTCACAAAGTCCCTTTTAAAATCGTATCCATGAAATTAGTCTATTACTAATTCCATCCACCTCCTATTTAGTTTGTTAGCATTTGTCAATTTTCATCAATATTGAATATGATAAAACATAAAATGAAAAAAAAATCTTTCATTACGTTACTAAAAAGAAACCAACATAATTTCGATGTCAATTACCGCAATGATACGCACCTTGAAACGTGTGTGTTACGTGTTTTCCGATGTTAAGTAGAAAAAAACATATCTATATGTGTTTCATATGACCGCCGCCGAATGCCCATTCTCTTATTTCACCATAACAGAAAAAATGTAATTCTTATAAAAAAAAAACAATCAGTTGTAAGCAAACAAAAACTGATAATCTCTGACCAATCTGGGATACACCAAACATGAAATATATTTCACTTTTAACATTTCAAGACCACACTGAATAGACCGACAGATGAGGTCATCTTCGAAATGATATACATTACAATTGACCTTTACCATTTCATCACTTCATAAGAGCATCAACAAAGTCAATTAAAAAATATTTTCAATTTCAAACAATCAGTCAAAACATATTTAGTTGAGTGCATTGTTAGTTTTCGGAGATTCAGGCAAGAACTTTAGAAAAAAAATTGAAAGAAGTTTTATGGATAAATGTATTATAAAAATCTTCTTAAGACAATACAAATTTAGGTAGAAATTTTATTTTCAGAATTTACCATAACTTCAAAACGTTGCGATACCAAGCATGAAATAAATGTAAATTGTATCGAAAACCATTTTGAGGCTTATAAACACTATAAATAACATGGCAAGTGAAATGGTAACAAGGAACGTTTAACTCCTTCGTATATCTACTACTTTTTGAGACTCCATATATATAATTACATAAACCACATCGGTTTTACAAATATCATTTAACAATAAAACTTGACAGTCATTGGTAAATAACCGGACAGGGGGTGACACTGGTTCCGTCTCCAAGTAATACATCAATAAATCTACTGGGGCAATAATAGGTGTGTTCACTGTTTTCTCTCAAACATACAGCACTCCTCTACTAACATTCAAACGTAAAGCATGAAAATTTTAATCAACCTTAAACATTACCACATACAATATATTTATAGTTAAATATTTGAAAACTAATAAGTCTAAGCTTCAAAGATATTGTTGTATCATATTTAAAATGCTTGGTCATGGTGAAAGGCATTATTTGTTTTGAAAATGTAGGAATGACGTTTTAAGCACAAACTCAGCTGCTGCAGCACAAAATCAATTGTTGAAGCACAGATATCACTGTTGAAGCACAAACTCAATTGTTGAATCAGCAGAACTGATCCGATTTAAAATGAATATTACATCTCTAGATGTACAAGC